AGCCTTCTTCGATTCCCATGGCTTCTAGCGGCTTCAGCTCTGAGACTGAACACTCAACAGGTGCCTCCGCCACCAACAACACATCAGGTTCGAATTCAACCCAGTCTGATGGAATACACTATCTTCCCATTAAGCTTATCAATGATAATTACATGCTCTGGAAAGCCTAACTGTTGTTGATCCTCTACACTAACCGGTTGATGGGGTACATAGACGGATCAATTGTTGCACCAGTGCAGTATATACCAGATCCGATCGATGGCAATTGGATGACTCTCAATCTAGCATATTCAGATTGGTTTGAAAGAGAACAACTAGTACTATCTTGGATTATTGCATCTCTCACAGGGAACGTGTTTGCACAAGTAGTAGGACATCGGTCGTCTCGCGATGTTTCGAATGCCCTCGCTAAGTCCTTCGCCAATTATTCATGCTCCATATTGCTTCAGTACAGAAGACAACTTCAGAGTCTCAAGAAAGGAGGTATGATTATTTCTAAATATGTTTGGAAAGCTAGGTCTATAGTTGATAGCCTTTCTACTGTCATTAAACCCATTAACACGAGTGGTTTAACTCTCTACATACTTGCTGGATTAGGAGCTGAATATGAATTTGTTGTGACTGCTATTACTAATAGGTCCAATATAGAGGACCTTGATGTTGATGATTTTTTAGGCATTCTTCTTGGCCATGAGAGCTGGTTAGAACAGAATGCTACTCTTGTCGACTCCACACCCCCTGCAGCTAATATTGCTAATTTTAAGAACAAAAATTAGAACAACTATCAATACACTGCTCCCGGGAACAATCGTGCCAGAGGCAGGGGCGTGATTCTTTAGACAACCGCACAAATAATGGAAGTAGAGGGTGCGGCAATCAAATTGTTTGTCAACTATGCAATAAACTGGGACATGGAGTTGTGAAATGTCATCGGCGTTATGATCTGAATTACAAGAACAAAGAGACAGAACCAGCCACCTACAACAGTAGCACTGCTCCCTCTTAACCATTCGACCCAGCTTGGTATCCAAATAGTGGTGCCACGCATCATATGACACCTGACGTCGATAACCTACAAGTACGGTCTGAGTATAGAGGAACCGATCAAGTTAAAGTGGGGAACGGTTCAAGTTTGGCAATTAAGAATATTGGTTCTTCAGTTACTAGAATTGCTACTCATCAGTTTGCTTTAAAGAATATTTTTCATGTGCCAGAATTACCTAAAAATTTGTTATCTGTTCACAAGTTTGCTCATGATAACAATTTATTTTTTGAGGCAAGTAGTGTCTCAGTTCGGATTACCATATGAAGGTCAACTTAATTTCAGCCCTAATTTAGTATGTGGGTCGTGTCAAATAACTAAGAGTCAAAGATTATATATCCCCCCTTCTTCTATAGTTATTTCCAGTCTGTTAGATTTGGTTTTTTCATATGTATGGGAACCAGCCCCAATTTTATCCAATGCAGAGTTTCGTTATTATGTAATTTTCATTGATGCTTATAGCAAATTTTCTTGGTTGTTTCCGTTGCAACGGAAGTCAGATGTCCTTAATGTATTTTTGTCTTTTAAACGTCATGTTGAAATTTTATTTAATACCAAAATCAATGCCTTGCAATCAATTGGAGTGGAGAATATCGGAAGCTCTTTACTTACTTAGACTCCATCAGCATCATTCACCAGCTTGCATGTCCTCACACACATAAACAAAACATAAGTGTTGAATGGAAACATCGCTACATCATCAAAGCAACTTTGTCTCTACTGGCCTCCTCGTCTCTTCCCTTTTCCTTTTGAGCAGATGCCACTCTTACAATTGTATACTTAATTAATCAGCTTTCGACCAGCACTCTCCGGCACAAATCTCCCTATGAAGTTTTGTTCAGTTCTCCTCCAAATTATCGGTTTCTTAAAATTTTTGGCTGTACTTGCTACCCATTGCTTCAACCATACAATCGGCACAAGTTTGACTATTGCTCTCAACAGTATATCTTCCTTGGCTACAACTACAAACACCAGGGTTATCAGTGTTTGCACCTCACAATTGGGCGAGAATATATCTCACGACATGTTATCTTTGATGAACATCATTTTCCTGGGCTTCCTGCGGTTTCTTCATCAGATCCGGTTCAGCCAACCGGTATTTATTTACAAACCCCCATAACGTCTCCCACTGCTCCCAAGCACCTGCATCCCCAGTTCCCTCATCTTTACCACAAAATGATTCTACTACTAGTTCCGTACCTCCTATAGTCCTAGCGATTCCTCAGCTTCTCCAACTAGTTCCACCTCCCATGATGTTGGACCATGTGGAACCTGTCCTCTTCAGGACATTCTTGATAATACGGCTCTTATCGTACCTCAGCATTCTATAGTTTCTCGCCAACACACTATGGTTACTCAGTCCATGCACGACTCTCTCCCTTCTCATTCTCATCTCACTACCAAGTATCTGTCACCACAATCATTATTGGCTCAATCACAGGATGATACTACAGAACCATCCAGCTATTCCAAAGTAGTAAAATCTGCTCATTGGCATGAGGCTATGACAAAGGAATTCAATGCTCTTGTCACCAACGGTACTTGGAGTCTTATCCCATACTCTTCTCACATGCACATGGTAAGAACCAAATGGGTCTATAAGGTAAAATGGAAGGCCGATGGAACCATTGACAAGTACAAGGCCCGTTTGGTTGCACAGGGTTTCAATCAAATCCCCGAGGTCAACTTTATTGCTACTTTCAACCCAGATGTGAAACCAGTAACCATCCGCACTACCCTTTCTCTTGCGGTCTCCCAATAGTGGTGTATTCATCAAATTGATTTTGACAATGCCTTTCTTAACGGGGAACTTCATGAGGATATATATGTAAAACAACCTAAGGGTTTTAAAGACCCCTCCAAACCAACTAATGTCTGCAAGTTACACAAAGCCCTATACGGGATTTTCCAAGCACCTCGGGCCTGGTACACTCGTCTCACTTGCCAACTAATCCATATGGGTTTTTGGGCTTCTACAACTGATACCTCCTTATTTGTGTACTTCTCCAAAACTGTCACTCTTTATCTGCTCATATATGTGGACGATGTTCTACTTATGGGGAACTCCAAGAATACCACCCACTACTGCATTATGGAGCTCTCTTGTCATTTCTCTCTCAAAGATCTGGGACCTGCCACCTTCGTTCTCAATATTGAGTTCATTCGACATCCTCATGGGGTACTTCTCAGTCAGCGACAGTACATCACCGATCTTCTTCAACGTGCTCACATGGAATCTGCTAAACCCATCTTGTCTCCTATGGCAATTCACCCTAAGCTCTCTCAATACAGTGGTCGTCCTCTTGATGATCCTACAGAGTATAGAAGCATTGTCGGTGCCCTCCAGTATGTGGCCATTACTCATTCAGACATCTCCTTTGTCGTAAGCAAAGCCTCCCAGTTTCTTCAATCTCCAATTGACGAACACTGGACAACAGTGAAACGGATCTTACGTTACCTCAAACACATTGTTATGCTTGGTCTGAACTTATCTCGGGATTCTTCCTCTTCTCTCTCCCTTCATGCATATTATGATACTGATTGGACCGGTTGTCCAGATGATCGAAGATCTACAGGGGGGTTTGGTGTCTATCTAGGTCCCAACTTAGTTGATTGGAGTTCCCGCAAACAAGCTAAAGTTGCTCACTCTAGCATAGAGTCTGAATTTCGTGCTTGTGCCATCACAGCTACTGAAGTTCTTTGGATTACATCTCTCCTTCGAGATCTTGGTGTCACTCTTTCCAAGGCTCCTATTACTTGGTGTGGTAACATTGGTGCTACCTATCTTGCTGCCAACCCCATCTTTTGTGCTCGCACTCGACATGTCGAGGTTGACTTTCACTTTCTTTGGGATCTTGTTTTTGCACGTAGGTTGAGTGTTCGGTTTATCTCCTCCAACAATCAGATTGTTGACATTCTCACCAAACCTCTCGCTAGTAATCAATTATGTTTCTTAAGAGACAAACTCCATGTTCTTGATGAGCATGGAGCTTGAGGTGGTGTATTGGAGATACACCACCTCCATGTGTATTATCTCTATCTCCTAGCTCAGCCAGATATCTATCCTTAGGAATCTATCCTTAGGATAACAATTACCCTTTAATCCTTAGGATAATTGTTATCCTAATGAGATGTACTCTCCTAATTGTTATCTTTGTAAAACTCTATTAAAGATGGAGTTCCATTTGTTGTAAACCTCTTCTCATTATAAATAAGATCAATGCCGATGCTCTTCTAATCATGCCCAATTATTCTTTGAGGTCTTCGACTCTATATATAGGGAAAATGTGTGCAAAGTTTTTGTTTGCAGGAAATCTCCATCATGGGTTTAAAGCCAAATAACCTGAAATACAAGATGCTCCAATGAAATAAAAACCAACTTTGTTGTATGGTAGAACTTGTTCTGAATGTTGATATGCTTTATCCCTGCCGTGACCAATGTGATCTTTTAAGGCTATTTTGAAAACAACAATATGAATCTTCTCACTTGGGTTCATAAAGAGTACGTTGTATTTGAAATCATTGTTGTTTCTATCTGAAAGAGGCAAAATCTACAAGTAGCCTCACATTACTATAAGCAACCTCAAATAACAGTTTGTATGTCTAGTGATGGCAATGGGGCAGATTCGGGGAGGGCTTTGTAAATTCTAGTCCCTACCCATTTCTTTAAATCTCTAAACATGTACCCACTCCAAAACTCGTAGCAAGTTGGATTTTGAGAATCCAAACCCACCCTGCATATGAAAGTGCAAAACCCTCCCCGACCATACCCTCCCACATTTAAGTATAGGGGTGGATTGGATTTAAAACCTACATCTAATTTTCTATTATTTATTGTCATATATAAGCGATAAATAAGCAAAACAACACAAATAAACATCAAGATTTCTAATTATTTGATTAAGACATATAAAAAATACATAAACTATCAATTATCATTCACATAAATTTCAAAATATTATTAAATTCAAAATCCATCATTTATGTATTGATGAAATGTATTAGTATCAAAGATGGCCTAAATCAGTTTTTTTAGAAAGAAAAGGGTAAAAAATCGGAATGGACAATACACTACCTTCCTTTCGTCATAATCCCACTATTGCCTGCCTATCCAGAGTTTCAGATTTCATTATTTCAGACACGAATAATACATGATCATATTCCATAATAATATGCACGTGGAAGAGGATAGGGTTGTCATTTCATTTATCCCCACAAGTTTTGTTGATGAAGTCCCTGCAAGCATCCAAAAAAGCCAGAGAGCTGGCCGGGAAGCCATGATCAAATGTGGCTCGAAGCGAAGCTGCCCGTTTTCTGGTCTCCTCATCAGCCAATAACCTCTTGATCCCACGCAAGATTTCGTCCTTCTTAACCGGCTCGGTCCGGCTCTCGGTTTGGACCATCAACCCGACCTTCAGATGGCTCACCACCAACTTTGCATTATAGATCTGATCACCGCGTATCGGCCATGCTAGCAACGGCACTCCTCGCCCCATTGCTTCCACTGTTGAGTTCCAGCCACAATGCGAGATGAATCCAGCCGTTGATGTGTGGCTCAGGATAAGAAGCTGTGGTGCCCACCCACGTATTATCAATCCCCTCCCTCCTACTCGGCTGGCTAAGGCATCTGGAAAGAAACTTTCACCTCCGTGTAGGTGTAGATGAGATTGGCCGGGTGGACCGGGAGGGCCTGCGGCTGGACCGGGTGGACCTGGAGGGCCTCCAGGTGGACCGGGTCGGCCTGAATTTGATTGGACAACCCAAATGAAAGGCTGCTTCGATTCGTCTAAGGCGTCGGCCAGCTGAGAGAGCTCCTCCGCGGAGGGACACACTTCAGAACCAAAAGATACGTATATCACCGAGCGACGTGGCTTCGAATCTAACCATTCACTGACTTCATCCTCCGTAACGTTGGATTCGCGTTTAGTGCGGGTGTCGCGATCGTGAACAATTGCGTCAGCAGAACGCCAGTACTGTTCCGGCAAAAGCGGGCCCACTCCCCAGACCGGCTTCCCGACCTCCCTAGCAACGTAGTCGATAAACGGACGTTCTAGATCATCACACGTGTTGATCAACAACGCGATGGACCCTTCTGTCTCACCAACCCACGGTGGTTTATGGCCGGGTTTAGGTACTGGACCGGGAGGTGGAGGGGAGCCTCCGCCACCACCACCGCCGGGTGGAGGACGGTGAGCAGGAGGCGGCGGATCCTTGTGTGACATATCGGAGAACGTCAGGCGCATGTCTTCCGGTAAGCCAGGAAGCTCAAGAGTCTCCCCGGGAGCAAGATCCTTGGGCTGGAGCTTCCACAGGGCGTATTCCATGGCGGCGGAGCAAGCTCCGGAGGTGAAGAAACTAACGACGGGGATCTTGAATTTTCCGAAGGTATCACGGGTCCAGCTCATCATAACGTCAACTACTGCACAGATAGGCATCGAAGGGCCGTCGGATAGACGGGCGAGGAAATCAGATAAGGGTTGGGCCATGTGGTGGTCGGGGTGGTGGTGGTGGTGGTGTCGATCGGAATCCGGCAACGGCAAGGGAGAGGGGGCAACTGCAGGGAGTTCGGCAACTTGGATAAGAGAGTGGTGGCGAAGAGAGGCAGAGATGGAAGAGGAGAGAGAAGAGGTGACGATGAGGGTAATCTTGTAATTACGGGAAGAAAGGAGCTTGCAAAGCTCCGAGAAGGGGAATAGGTGGCCTTGTCCATGGAAGGGAACCAACAAAATGTGTGCTGACATTTTTTGCTTCTTTCTCTCTGCCGATCAACTCGATGATATCACTTGCCACGCTGAAGGCCCGAAGCTGGTTATATACTTGAAGTAACAAGAGAGAGAGAGAGAAAGAGAGAGAGAAAGCTTAGGAGTTAAGAAAAAGTGGGGAAGACTAACAGAGAGGATTGACGATTTGTTTGAGTTTTGACTGTTAGATTATTGTTTTACTCGTCGGAGGAGGAAGTGAAGATGAAGCTCGAGACTTCTTGGGGTGTCATGTCAATCATATTTGGCTTTTGGTCCGAACATCACCGACCACGACCGACATAACTTCATCCTTTGTACGACTCCGGATATCTTTGCCCGCGAGAAATCTGTCCACGACTATCCACGATACACTATCCCACGAATTGGGAACATCTCTCCTTCCTATTATGCAGAGGAGATGTTCTGCATCTGTGGCTGTGATAAAGGTGGGCAGAGCTCTCGCGGGCTGTACCGCCCTCCCCTACGATATTTTGGGGATCAGCCTCGCAGCTTGAGGTTGCCCGGCTTATGTCGAGCGATGCCATGCCACTAGGCAGGTTGATTTATAGATTCAGTCTTGGGTTGATTTAAAAATTTGAAAAAGAAAATTTAAAAATTTTTATTTTATATGAATTTTGATGTATATAATTGTTTATTCTATTAATATATTATTTACTATATATTATATATATTATTTATATGAATATATATATATAATATATAACTATAAATATATATGGGTCAAGCCGCCGGTTGGGCTGGGCCAGCACACAAGCCGCCGGTAGTCATGCCAGCCCATGGACCTGAAACCCTTGGCCCAGCACGGCTCGCATGCCATCGTATTGGGCCGTGAGAGGCACGACCCGTCTTACACCTCTAGGGGTTAGGATTGTTAGACAGTTTTGTATGCCCTTAGCTTCAATCATTTTGATGTACTTTTGTTATTTAGTGGAAATAAATAAAGTGCATGTTTGATTCATGTTGTTTGGTTTAATTCTGTGTAAAACCCTAAAACTGGACATTT